CACATCCTGAGCTTCGTGGCTTGCTTTCCCTCTCTCTCTCTCTCTCTCTCTCTCTCTCTCTCCCTCTCTGTCTGTCTGATCAAACTGGAAAATAACAATAATAAATAAAGTTAAATTAAATAATTCTTTAAAAAAGGAAAGAGCGAACCAGAAGTCAACAGCCAAATCCACGTAAAATAGCGACCGCGTGTCCACCTGCTCCTCAGGTGGCTATGTGTATCCCTACTTGGGTAGGACTGGAGCCCCTCCTCAGATTCAGGCAGGGCTTGGAGCAGGAAGGGGCCTTGAGCAATCCGACTGGACCCCAGCTGGCACGAGAACCAGCTGGTGGCCACCTGTCCGTGCTAGCCGGCATGCTGTTCCCTCCGAGCACAGAAAAGGATGAGGACAAAGTGAGCTGCTACACTCGGCGATGAAAACGGACCAAAGCGGGGGTGGGGGCAATAAGGAAGAATAAGAGAAATGTTCTGAAAACTGAAAGGGCGAAGGGGCAGTGAAGGGGAGCCAAGCGCTAACTTACTCAGCAGCCCCTCCCCACCTCTGGAGGACTGGCAATCCACAGGAGGGGCTACTCAGAAGAGGAGAGATCATTTACAGCACACTGTTGGAGTTGTTACAAAGAAAGCATGTCAGGACTCTCCTGGGGGTCTGTCAGTGCGAGCAGGGATGCAGCTTGGGCAAGACCGGGCAGGCCAGCCCAGGCAGGCCGCTGGCCCCAGGCAGCTGAGTCTTGCGTCCCTAGCTGGTGGGGGTGGTTGGTTTGAAAGAGCTTTTCTGTCCCTACCTCTGACAGCTGGCACTTCCTGCTCTCCAGGCCCACTCCCCAGTCTGCACTGGAACTGGGAAACCTTGAAGCCAGCTTGGATAACCACAGGGGGCAGAGGGAAGACGCACGCCAGGCTTTCCCTGCCCACAGGCAGGAGGAGCATCACCCTGTGATTCCAAGTCATCTTCCCCATTAACCTCGATTCTCAGAGGTGCTCATGACAGTCTGGGGGCCTGGAGGACAAGGCACCTCAACAACAGGGAGAGGAGGAAGGGCGAGAGGTAGAAGTGAAAGCAGGAAATAGGCCAAGACAAGAAGAGAAGCGGAGTAATGAAGAGAGAGACAGGATGAATGAGAACCCTGGAAGGGTCACAGCTTCCACAGAAACCGAAAACAAACACAAACACAAAAGCAGTCTCCTCGGGTTTCCTGGACACCTTGCCCCTCCGTAGAACTAACCAGGGGGTGCCACCTCCTGGGCTCCTTCCTGTTGGCCTCACTTGTCCTCGGCCCGGCTCCCTGGCGGGGGTTCTGCCGCCCTGACCCAACACCTCCAGCCGTCCAGCCAGCCAAGGACCAGCCTTCCAAAGACATCGCCTGTGGGCCGCCTAGCCCCGGCCCTCCGAAGGGCCAGAAGCTGGCCTGCAACAGAGCCGGGCAGCTGGGACTGTACCTGCTCACAACCAACAGACCCGGGCCTTATGTCAGCTGATCCCCAGATCTTCCTCCTCCAGTGAGGGGAAGAAACGGGCACCTTGAGAGCCCTGTGGAACCTAAAGGGAAGTGTTCTGTTTTTACATTTCCTGCAGATTTTTCATTAATGCTGTAGTGCTTTTTCCCAACCCTTGATTAGGTGTGCACTTGCGCGCGCGCGCGCGCACACACACACACACACACAGAGCAAATGCAAAATCAAACGGGCTAAAAGTGTAAACAATAGGCAATTAATACGTGGGTGGGCCTTGTATTTTTGTTCTTTTTTTTTCTTTCTTACTAGAGGGCATGTGCTCTCATGAGAGAGAGATGGAGAGATAGGAGAAAGCACTGCCCTGGGGCCACGCCTGCAATCCCTTCTGTTCCATCTCTCCTTCATTTCAGGATTTTGGGCACACACACACACGTGCCTGGCATGTTTCTCCAGCTGCCTGCTCTGGGACTTAAACCATTGTCAGTTATGTAGGATCCCGCTGCCTTAACCACCAGGCCATGGAGCCAGGCCAGCTTCGTATTACTTTTAGTCTTAGAATTTTTTCTAAGTTTTAAATTGTTTCCAAGTTAAAAGCCTTAGAAAAAAAAAATCCTACCCTCTGATCAGGGCTCAGATACATGCACGTAAATTTCATTTCATATTATCTCCGAGAAAGAAGTAACAAGAATCAGATTAGAAAGCCCCATAGCAGCAGTTAAATACTGTGCGTAAGGAGCTGGGTTCCAGAGGCCCAACCCCCAGTTCAAATCTGGCCAGTGGCTTAAACATTCCAGGTACGTGTATGTGTTTGCACAAAATCCTGATGGGAGGGAGAAATGGAAGAGAGTGGTGTGATCATGGCCGACTGGAGGGAGCTTCTTCTGCCTCTCGAATGTGCACATGTGTGCCCCATGGCAACTAAAAAAACCCCAGAAAACTGCAAAATGACAGAGAAACAACAAGACCAGGAAGAGGAGAACAAGCAAAGGAGAGAAGAGAAGTGTGCAAAAGGCGGGCCTTCGGCCAGGGAGGGGCAGGGCTGGCTCATGCCACTGAACTTCAGCCTTATCCCAGCCACCACTGGCCCTGTAGGCTTATCAGCTGGTGACCTCCCACCCAGCCCTAAGCCCGCCCCTTTCGCTATGGCCCACAAGGAGACCAGGGCAGTGATCCTCGTAGCCAAGGCTGGGCCTTGGGTACTAGGTGGCTCAGCCACCACTATCCCATCCGGAAGTGCTCCGATCTGCTTAACCAGCCTGTGCCATTCAGAAGCAGCTTCAAGTCACAGCCCCCGGCCTGGCCCCTCTCTCTTCTCCCCGGCCCCTTTGGGGCAAACACCAGCCCTCCCGGGGCTGAGGGCACATGGGTGTAGGAGGCTGAATTCAGGCCCCAGGAACCTCTGGCTCAGGGGTATGAGTAGACACAAGTTCCTGACAATATGTTGTCTCCAGGCAAGTTGTATTTTCAAACGTGTAACTGACGACTCGGAGGCCAGAGGAACGTGGCAGAATCAGCTCAGACCACCGCTCGACAGCAAAACCGTCTGCTGTGCTTTGTTACATACAAGTTGATATCAGTTGTTTGTAAGTTCACAGCCAGATTCCAGCTAGATTCAGGCCCCCAAGATTCCTAGTTGAGGCCCTTCCCTTCCAACTCTGAACTTTTTCCTTAGGAATAATAAAGAAGAGGGGCTTGCAGGTGGCGTGGTGGTTAAAGGACGCCAGACTCCCATATAGGCGACCATGGTCTGAATTCTGGACCTAGCGGCTTGCCTTCTCATTTTCCCTCTCTCTCTGATCCTCTCTGGTCAAACTTAAATAAATAAAGTTATTTTTTTTAAAAAAGGAATAATATAGAAGAAATACATAAATTTTTTCCAGAGTCATTAGCAGTGACTTTGAAATAGAGAAAGGGATCCGCGAACTCCTGCACAACAGCAGTCAGCCTTACACGGGAAGTGGGCCCCCACCAGGATGCTTCTGGCCAGCCCAGAACGCCGACAGCGGGACTCCTCTGCGGTCTTACCTGACTTGGATGTGATAACAAGGATTCGATCATCCAGTGTTTTTATCGTCTTCTTGAAGCCACAGAGAGCTTCAGAGAGCTGAATTTTCATTTTCATGATCAAGTCGTGGCCTCGCCTCTGAAAGACACTATGATCCTTCTGATCAAGCACAATTATGACATCACCAGGCTCCAGTTCAGGCTCCTGATCTCCTTCTCCATGAAATAGTATCTTTTGCCCATCTTTCATACCTATGGAACATCATCCCTGTCTGATTAGCCGTGTCTCATAAAAACCAGACTTTCCCAAAGCTCTGAAGGAGGAATGCAGAGTCCTTAGGGGGTTATTCATCAAACCTGCCAACCTCCCGCGGGCGTGGGCCATGGGGGTGGCCTGGGATTGTCACCAGAAAAGAGGCCCTTTCTGGTGTAATAGGAATCCTGGGCCGAGCGAGTAGTGCAGAGAGGGTAGGGCTCTGTACCCCAGGGTCACGCTGCCTGTCCCCGTCCCCCCAAAATCCTGGGATGCCACACTGACCCCACCACAAGCACCAGGTCACCATCCATTTCCTGACACCTTTGGTGCCTGACTGGGGACCAATGGGGACAGGACAGGACCAGACACCCTGTCCCTTTTAAGAAGTCAGTGTGCACACCTGGGCCCAGGCTCCAGGTGTGTTTGAATGAGAAGTCCAAACAACACCTGTGCAGGTATGGGTGCTGATTGTCTCACTCATGGTCTTATCTCGGGTCTCAGGTACGTTCGGTGGATGAGGAAGCCACGGGATACCCAGGAGATACTTGGAGAACAGTGGGGAGTGAAAGGGCCTTAGACTGATGGCACCAGGCAAAAGGAAAGGCAGGAGGAGGCGCCGTACTTGGGGCCCTCTGACATAGCAAAGGGGTGTGCCGTTCCGAAGCCTCACACGAGCTCTTCGCCAAGGTGCAGGAAGGAATCACTCCCAGAGGGACTCCAGAGGGCTGACCCAAGAATGGCTGCAGGGGCAACTAGCCCACAGCAGGGTCGAGTGAGCCTTTTGGAGCATTAGGAAACCTTACGAAGAGGTTGTGCTCTCCAGGATGGGCCTTGGGTACTAGGTGGCTCAGCCACCACTATCCCATCCGGAAGTGCTCCGATCTGCTTAACCAGCCTGTGCCATTCAGAAGCAGCTTCAAGTCACAGCCCCCGGCCTGGCCCCTCTCTCTTCTCCCCGGCCCCTTTGGGGCAAACACCAGCCCTCCCGGGGCTGAGGGCACATGGGTGTAGGAGGCTGAATTCAGGCCCCAGGAACCTCTGGCTCAGGGGTATGAGTAGACACAAGTTCCTGACAATATGTTGTCTCCAGGCAAGTTGTATTTTCAAACGTGTAACTGACGACTCGGAGGCCAGAGGAACGTGGCAGAATCAGCTCAGACCACCGCTCGACAGCAAAACCGTCTGCTGTGCTTTGTTACATACAAGTTGATATCAGTTGTTTGTAAGTTCACAGCCAGATTCCAGCTAGATTCAGGCCCCCAAGATTCCTAGTTGAGGCCCTTCCCTTCCAACTCTGAACTTTTTCCTTAGGAATAATAAAGAAGAGGGGCTTGCAGGTGGCGTGGTGGTTAAAGGACGCCAGACTCCCATATAGGCGACCATGGTCTGAATTCTGGACCTAGCGGCTTGCCTTCTCATTTTCCCTCTCTCTCTGATCCTCTCTGGTCAAACTTAAATAAATAAAGTTATTTTTTTTAAAAAAGGAATAATATAGAAGAAATACATAAATTTTTTCCAGAGTCATTAGCAGTGACTTTGAAATAGAGAAAGGGATCCGCGAACTCCTGCACAACAGCAGTCAGCCTTACACGGGAAGTGGGCCCCCACCAGGATGCTTCTGGCCAGCCCAGAACGCCGACAGCGGGACTCCTCTGCGGTCTTACCTGACTTGGATGTGATAACAAGGATTCGATCATCCAGTGTTTTTATCGTCTTCTTGAAGCCACAGAGAGCTTCAGAGAGCTGAATTTTCATTTTCATGATCAAGTCGTGGCCTCGCCTCTGAAAGACACTATGATCCTTCTGATCAAGCACAATTATGACATCACCAGGCTCCAGTTCAGGCTCCTGATCTCCTTCTCCATGAAATAGTATCTTTTGCCCATCTTTCATACCTATGGAACATCATCCCTGTCTGATTAGCCGTGTCTCATAAAAACCAGACTTTCCCAAAGCTCTGAAGGAGGAATGCAGAGTCCTTAGGGGGTTATTCATCAAACCTGCCAACCTCCCGCGGGCGTGGGCCATGGGGGTGGCCTGGGATTGTCACCAGAAAAGAGGCCCTTTCTGGTGTAATAGGAATCCTGGGCCGAGCGAGTAGTGCAGAGAGGGTAGGGCTCTGTACCCCAGGGTCACGCTGCCTGTCCCCGTCCCCCCAAAATCCTGGGATGCCACACTGACCCCACCACAAGCACCAGGTCACCATCCATTTCCTGACACCTTTGGTGCCTGACTGGGGACCAATGGGGACAGGACAGGACCAGACACCCTGTCCCTTTTAAGAAGTCAGTGTGCACACCTGGGCCCAGGCTCCAGGTGTGTTTGAATGAGAAGTCCAAACAACACCTGTGCAGGTATGGGTGCTGATTGTCTCACTCATGGTCTTATCTCGGGTCTCAGGTACGTTCGGTGGATGAGGAAGCCACGGGATACCCAGGAGATACTTGGAGAACAGTGGGGAGTGAAAGGGCCTTAGACTGATGGCACCAGGCAAAAGGAAAGGCAGGAGGTGGCGCCGTACTTGGGGCCCTCTGACATAGCAAAGGGGTGTGCCGTTCCGAAGCCTCACACGAGCTCTTCGCCAAGGTGCAGGAAGGAACCACTCCCAGAGGGACTCCAGAGGGCTGACCCAAGAATGGCTGCAGGGGCAACTAGCCCACAGCAGGGTCGAGTGAGCCTTTTGGAGCATTAGGAAACCTTACGAAGAGGTTGTGCTCTCCAGGAAGGAGATGGCGAGCAAACATTGGCAGGTGAGACAGATTGGAAACAAGGTCAGGGAAGGTCAAGAGATGACCTGAAGATAGCAGGCGTCCAAGGCGCGCCCGAGTGTCTGTGAACTCCAGGTTGCGACATACCTTGCTCTGCTGGGGCCTAACCTGTGTGCCCCACAATCAGCACCTGAGGGGTCCCTTCCAGCCAGCATGGGGTGCTAGTCCCGCGCAGCCTCACCTTTCTCAACGTGTACCTCGATGATCTTCTTCTCGCGGATCACCTTGGCGCCGCTGCACGTCTCGCAGCGATCCTTGGGGTTGATGCGCTCGCCCTGACCCTTGCACTCGATGCATACGGTCTGGATCTGCTGCACCATGCCCGGCCCGATGTGCTGGATGTGGACCTGCATCCCCCTACCCTTGCACAGAGGGCACTTCTCCACCGACCCCTTCTTCCCGCCAACACCTGCAGGGGGCAGGAGGCAGGGATGAGCTGGGTGCCTGGGCAGGGAGTCGTGGAACATCAGGGTTGGATTCTGGCTACTGATGACCACAGAAAGCAATGTGGAAGGATCTGGATAAGTCCAGCCATGGAGGTAATATCCAGACGCTAACATCTGTAAGCCTTAGGCTGCACACATCCGTATTTATGACTTTAGCTTCATCGAAGGTGTCTTTTCTCCCCCAGCCCCGTGGAAAACACCCGTGTGCGAGAGTAAATGAGGCAGCGGGGGGTACTGAGAGCTGGAGAAGATTCAGCTCAGCAGATTCTCTGTGGGACGATGTGGTCACCAGACCAGACTTTTTCTTGACAACTCAGATCTTTGAAAGTGTTTGTAAATGACATTTAAGTCAGAGGTGAAAGAACTATGGCCAGCCTGCCTGTGAACGAAGCTTTGCTGAACAGGCACACGGCCACTGGTTTACGCCTCAATGACAGCAGAACTGGGTGGCCACCACAGACTGCGTGGCAAATGAAACCTAAAATATCTGCCGTACAGCCCATTGGAGAAAAAGTTTGCCAACTTGTAGGTGAAATCGTCTTCATTTAAACATTTTGACAGTGGGACCAGCAGTTAGCGTAATAGCTATGTTGCTGGACTCCCATGTAGTCGACCGCGGTTCATGTTCCGGACCCAGTGGCTTAAAATTCACGCCAGGTGCATGTGCGTGCATGCCCAAGATCCTAAGAGAACGAAGGAGAAGGGATTGTGGCGTGGCCATCACCCCTGGGGGGTGATTTTTCACTTTCTGTCTCTCTGTCTCTCTCTGGCTTTCTGGCGAGCACACATGCCCTATAGCAAAAATTTTGACAATAACGTCAGGATGTTAAGTGTACAATCCTTTGGGCAAATAGATTTGGCCCTTGGGCCCCCTATATGTGACCTTTGCTTGGCCCTTACATTTGAAAAGATAAAGTATTTCTCCCTGAACTAAAAAACAAGCAGACTTGTTTCTGAATCTAAGGATCAGAACTGGAAGATTCACTCAAAAATGTTTACCTTCACATTTTTCACAAATTACATTTTTCTGGAGAGCCAATTTCTTTGTGACTCCGTTATATAAATCTTCAAGAGTTACAGACAACTGGTGTACCACATTCTTGCCTTGCCAAAGGAGAAGGAGAAAAAACATCCAATTAACAATACTACGTTAAATACACGATCGTATTAAACCCCACTCACACGACTCTTAGTCCAAGAAGTCTCCAGAGCCTCAAAGTCAAGCCTGGGTCCGTCATCCCCTTCCCTGTGGGAAGCAACGCTTCCATTACAGCCTGTTTTTCTGGCCCTCTGCCAAGAGTGAGGACAAATGCCCTGCCCAACTACGGGCTAAGTATTCATCGTGCAGAGAAGTCAGCCAGAAGACTTCCCACGCTCGGTCTCTGAGAACAAATCCGAGGACGAGATCACTCGCTGAGAGACGAGACCATGTTAACCAGTGGAAAGTGGGGGGCTAAGTCCTCCTGTGACAGGACCCCCTTCCTCACAGACAGCACGGCGGCCACCTCTGCACCTCTCACAGAAGCGCCTGCTCGGGCATCAAGCACTCCACCTTCGAGGCCCTTCTGCAATGTGTGGCCAAGTGGGCATTCTCTCCTCTGCTGGAGTCTCTTTCTACTCCCAGGACAGTGGGCGCTTTGTCCTCCAGGTGGGGGCTGCTTGCTCAGCACTGGGCTGGCCTGCTAGGTGACAGCAACAGGGTGCCCCCGAGACGAGGTGTCCTTCACTGCTGTCAGCTTTGAGGGATGACTGACTTAAGGGCATGGAGCTCTTCATCTCGAGACAGCTGGGCAAGCGGATACCCAAGGTCTTCATCACATCCACACCAAGTATGTGAGCAGGAGCATGCCCAGAGGACAAGAGAAGTCTTCCCTAACAAACACTCGGTGATTTCCAGCACACCGTGTTCACAGAATCGACACCCATGCTTTTTAAAGCACGAAGTCAACTATTACGTGGGAACCTGTACAGCTTCCTTTATCCAGGGCCTCTCATTGACCAAACACACATCGGCCCCAACGCAGGGCTGGTTTTTTCGGACTGTGTCAGATACAGCATGGAACAAGCTGAGTTATCTAACTGGCTCCAGGATCAGGCGGGAGGGACGGGGGCTAGGACCCCAGAGACACCTGCTAACAGAAGTGTCAGCCACAGCCTGGCGAGAGGGAAGATTAGGAAGAGTAAATGCCAGACTCACAGTCCGCGGCCTGGGCTGGCCTGGGCTGCTCGGCTAAGTTCCTCATTCACCTCCCGGGAAGGAGGTGCTAACTTTAACGCAGTCCGCAAAGAAAGGCAGACAGTCTGCTTCCCAAAGATTAAAAACACAAACAGGTAGATGTTGTGCCCTAGGAATCTCCCTTAGCAGGCTGGGGGAGGGGACCTACGGATATGGCAGAGTACAGCCAGAATCAGAAAGCTCGTGAGCCCTGGCTAGATGGGGTCTGGGGACGCAAAAGCTGAGGCCACGGGAAGCGGGGGACAGCCACAAGAGGTCCCATCTGTGTCCCTCAGGACACTCGGGTGCCTGGCAGTTCTCCAACAACAAGAGAAGGCAGAGGCATGAACTGGACCCTCCTCCCCTCTGTCCACCACCCCATGGCACCTTCCTGTGCAGCACTGGGAGGGTACAGGGCCATTAGTCAACATGCTAAGCACTCCAGGTAGCTCAGACACTGGACACGTGAGTGACTGAAGTTCACGTCCACTGGATAAGACGATTGTACCTTGTTAAAACATGATGCCTCCTGGTGCCAACAACGCGTACAGTTTTGAAAAGTACAAATGGGCATCCATTTCTGCAAAAGCATTTACCTCTTCTCTCTCTAGCCATCCGTCCTCCACCACCAAAGAACATGTCGAAGATGTCCATGGGTGACGAGAAGCTGGAGCTGCCCGAGCCTCCTTCTTTGATGGCCTGTTCTCCACCCTGGTCATAAATGTCCCTTTTCTTGGGATCTGAAAGCACTTCATATGCCTGGGATATGAGTTTAAACTTTAAAAGAGAAAAAGAGGGAAATTAAGAGAGAGAGAGAGGTTTGAACTGTTTTATTAAGCAAACCTACCGCGAGACTGTAAGGCAGGGACAGAGATCTCCCACACCAGCCGCTCACACTGCCAGCACACACCCCAACCTGGGAGCTGACTTTGCGCTTCCTCCCTTGGTGAAGTGGAAAATGTGGGGCAAACATCATTAAGCGCTCATGACAGGGACGCTGTGAGAAACAGCAGGGATGGAAGGTCCTCCCTTCTCTGGCTGCGCCAGACAGGAGGAAGTGGAGCTCCACCAGGAGGCAGCGAGACCATGCCAGGGCTTAATCTATAAGCAGAAGGAGCCCAGGACTCCGGCTGCTACCGCTGGCGCTCCGGTTCTTGGGAATCATGACTCCTTTACTAGCATGCAGTTCGTGCTGGCATCTCCGAGCACCGATCTGCACATCAGAATGGGGGCGCAAGCCTGTACTATTCCTTCCAAAGTCCCGCCCCACCAGCCAACGGTCTTGGCCATATCTCCATCCTGTTGGGGCTGCCTTCACGTCTCTATCTCTAGTGCCCCACACGTAGCATCCTGTCAAAAACGGATCACTGGAGAGACCAGCAGGTGGCCTGGTGGTTAAGGTGGCTGAATCCTACAAGTCTGCGGTTTAAGTCTTGGACTCAGCGGCTTAAAAAACATGCCGGAAGGCCGGCAAGTGGCATGGAGGTTAAGGCATTGGACTCCCACATGGCCTACTGTGGTTAGAGTTCTGGACCTGGTGGCTTTCTTTCTTGCTTTCCCTTTCTCTCTCGCTGTTTCTCTCTGGTCAAATTTAAAAATAAATAATAACAAAATAAAGTTTTTTTTTAAAAAAAGCCAGACATGTGTGTGTGTGTGTGTGTGCGTGTGTGTGTGCGTGTGTGTGCGTGTGTGCGTGTGTGCGCGCGCGCATGCTTGACATCCCAAATGGAGGGAGGAATGGTGGAGAAGGGATGTGGCATTACCATTTTCTAAGAGGGGGTGCTTTATTACCCCAGCCTCCACACCCAGCCTCCCTGAGAGAACAGGCACCCTCTGGTAAACATTTTTAAAAGAATGGAAAAGGAATGTCCTGTCATATGGGGGCATTCAGTCAGAGGCCAGCTTCACAAGGGACGGAACCTCTGACTCCGGGCAGTAGGCCCACCCCACATCGGGGGTGCCAGCTCTGGGGTCTGTGGGACAGTCAGAGGTTGGTGCTCTGACCAGCTGGCCTGCCAGACTGTGCCCATGTGCCGCAGAATCTGAATGGTGGGGGAGTGGCTTTGCAGACAGTGTACGACTAGGAAAAGCACTTCTAGCACAGTAGGGCGTGGAGAGAGAGAGTCTGTGTCAAAGGGTGACCACGTGTGACCACCCCGGGCAGCGCTCGGAGAGCAGCAGAGTGCTGACAGCGACGTGTACCTGGTGGGCTTTCCTGTGCATCCTAACATTTTCTGCACTATTACTCAACCTGCTATAATTGTCTTAACTTCGAAGTCTGATATTCGATGGGACCAGCAGACGGCGGAATAGTTACATCACCACTCTCACCAAGTCAACTGCCGTTCCAGTCCCAGACCCAGAAGCCTAAAACTCACACCAGGCGCAGGACCAGCAGATAGAACGGTTACATCACTGGACTCCCACGGAGTCAACTGCAGTTTGAATCCTGGACCAGGTGGCTTAAAATTCACGCCGGGTGTATGTGCATGCGTGCCCAAGATCTCGAGAAGATAATGGAGGAACAGGGATTGTTGTGTGGCCACCCCTGGGGAAGTGATTGCTCACTTTCTGTCTCTCCAACAAGCACATACGTCCTATAGCAAAAATCTCTCTCTAAAACAAACAAACAAAAAAACTAAGTCTGGAATTTGAACTAAAAGTTATAATGAAATTGACCAGAAGACCAAACTCATCTCTACAGGGTAACATTGCCCTGGGGGGCAGGGGTCTACCCTGCTGACCCGCCATCTGCCATCAGTGTGTCTTGCAGAAAATCAGCCACAGATAAGTCTGACTCCTTACAGAGGCCCACAACAAACGCAGGCTGCCCAGTGCCTAGCAACACAGGCCAACAGGGCGGAAAACAAAGACCAAGCCCGCAACGGCCTTCTCAGTTGTCCTGCTGCAAGAAGGCAAAGGCCTGGCTTAATCTATTTTTGAAGAGACATGAATAATACAGTGACAAACCTAGGGAGAAAAAAAAGGTTTCACCTGTGACAGAGTGGATGACAACTGCACACAGACACGCCCCTCCCCCCCCCAATAAAAAAACAAAAAACAAAACAAAAGCCTGCAAGTGCACCTGACACAGAAGGGGACCAGAGGAGGAGGTAGCTGAAGGAATGAATAAATGAGCCCTCTCTGCTGGAACTTTACAGGAGTTTCTATAAATTGTGTCCCCAATCTCCTCATCCCCTTTGATTTCTGATTCAAATTTCTACTGGAAATTTCCCTTCACTGAAATTTCCCTTCCAATCTGTGACTTTCTCGGGCTTTCTTCTCCCATGCTGTGTTTATGAAAGTTCTTAGACGTTACGATTCGGTTATGCGGCCGGCCAACACTCCAGCGCCTGCACTGCAGTTAGACACACAGCCTTTAAGCGGGCAGGAGGCATGTGTCTGCGCTGTTTACATTACAGCAGAGAATACAGGCGTCAAATAATCGCCACAGGAGTATCGACAGGAGGATTGGGCCAACAGATGGCATGGTGGTTAAGGCACTGGACTCCCAAGTGGCTAACCGTGGTTCGAATCCCGGACCTAGTGGATTGCTTTCTCTCTCTCTCACTCCCTCCCCCCCCCACTTTCTTATGAATGCATGTGTCCTATAGCAAATTTAGTAATAATAAAATTAATTTTTAAAAAAATAGGATGTGTACTGGGCCAGCAGCAGTGTGGGTCACAGGCAGCCTCCCTGAAAGAGTCGATAGCTGAGAATAAACTAAGGGATTTGATCAAGCCCTTTATGGAACTGGGGAGGGGAAGGTATTCCCTGCATGGGCACATGACAGAAGCCCCCCATGTTAAGAGGGGCCTGCCAGACCACTCTGCCCAGAGCCTCGTTTATGTGGTCCTAATTCAGTGACCAGCTGTAAGTATTCATTTAGAATAAACCAAACAACTTGTCTAACCAGGTATACGCAGGGTGAGACCTACCCGTGTATCCTGCCTGGTCAAGTCCAGCTTGTTTTACTCCTTTAGAAAGCTTCAGGACACCCAAAGCACACCCTTCTCAAACCGTGCGCACAGCAGCCACGAACTTGCTCTGGGTGAGTGCCACGGGACTGACCTGAAACAGGGTCGGAAGCTTTTCCACACTGCCTTTTAGCTGTCTGCCAAAGTGTGAGCTCAGAGCCTGGGCGCGCTCCTTAAAGGAGACTGTGAGAAGCAGGCCGTGTGATGTATGAAGGGAGCGTGTCTGTGAGTCACCAGCGCCGTGGAGCAAGCCTGTGACTTTAAAAGCTACAGTAAGCCACCTAAATATAGGTGAGAAAGGATGCGAGTGGTAACAAATGGCCTTACAGGAAAGCATGTTGGCTTGTGACAGCCACATTCAGCACATGCGGCTAAATATAAACATTCTGTCACTGCGCCGCCCAGCCAACTTTCCTTAAGTCACTTTCTCCCGCCTGAAATAGCTAACACAGACAAGTATTTCGATTCGGACGTCATTTCCGCAGGTCTCAATGTTACACGGGGGACCACTGGAATCAAAGCCGGCCGTTTGCTAACAGCCCCACCTCCTAAGACCCATGTGGGCCATAAAACGTTTCAGAAGAAGACGGTAGAAGGGAAGGGAGGGTGTGCTGGCCGGTAAGTTTTTCTTGCTAGTCTGAGCCTTTGGGTCACCTCTTCAGGTGGGTGACAAGCCTTCCTGGGGGATAAAACAGACCCATTTCTGTAAACAGGTGGAAAAGTTTAAGTCTCTACCCCGGGGTTCAAAATGTGGTGGAAAATGAAATGAAGTACAAGTTTACTTTGATGCAACACATTTCGAAACCCATGCACAGTTTTTTCATAACTTTCTTTTCATAATGTTCTTCCCACGAACTCTTTGAAGACCCCCTCATCTAAGGCAGAGTACCTGCGGCCTACAATTGGTACTCAGAATTAGGGCGTGGAGAGAGAGAGTCTGTGTCAAAGGGTGACCACGTGTGACCACCCCGGGCAGCGCTCGGAGAGCAGCAGAGTGCTGACAGCGACGTGTACCTGGTGGGCTTTCCTGTGCATCCTAACATTTTCTGCACTATTACTCAACCTGCTATAATTGTCTTAACTTCGAAGTCTGATATTCGATGGGACCAGCAGACGGCGGAATAGTTACATCACCACTCTCACCAAGTCAACTGCCGTTCCAGTCCCAGACCCAGAAGCCTAAAACTCACACCAGGCGCAGGACCAGCAGATAGAACGGTTACATCACTGGACTCCCACGGAGTCAACTGCAGTTTGAATCCTGGACCAGGTGGCTTAAAATTCACGCCGGGTGTATGTGCATGCGTGCCCAAGATCTCGAGAAGATAATGGAGGAACAGGGATTGTTGTGTGGCCACCCCTGGGGAAGTGATTGCTCACTTTCTGTCTCTCCAACAAGCACATACGTCCTATAGCAAAAATCTCTCTCTAAAACAAACAAACAAAAAAACTAAGTCTGGAATTTGAACTAAAAGTTATAATGAAATTGACCAGAAGACCAAACTCATCTCTACAGGGTAACATTGCCCTGGGGGGCAGGGGTCTACCCTGCTGACCCGCCATCTGCCATCAGTGTGTCTTGCAGAAAATCAGCCACAGATAAGTCTGACTCCTTACAGAGGCCCACAACAAACGCAGGCTGCCCAGTGCCTAGCAACACAGGCCAACAGGGCGGAAAACAAAGACCAAGCCCGCAACGGCCTTCTCAGTTGTCCTGCTGCAAGAAGGCAAAGGCCTGGCTTAATCTATTTTTGAAGAGACATGAATAATACAGTGACAAACCTAGGGAGAAAAAAAAGGTTTCACCTGTGACAGAGTGGATGACAACTGCACACAGACACGCCCCTCCCCCCCCCAATAAAAAAACAAAAAACAAAACAAAAGCCTGCAA